AAGCATCTGGGAATATTCTTCATTTCTCTCTTATACATAGGACTCCAAAGGGAAGAATGCAGACGACCAAATGTGTGGTTATGGGAGATGGGGCTGTAGGTAAGACCTGCCTCCTCATCAGTTACACAACAAATGCCTTTCCTGAAGAGTATATCCCTACTGTCTTTGACAATTATAGTGCCCAGACACCTGTGGATGGCCAAATCATCAGCCTGTACCTTTGGGACACAGCTGGTCAAGAAGAATATGACCAACTGAGAACGCTCTCCTATCTCCAGACCAATATCTTTGTCTTTTGTTTTTCCATTGGCAACCCATCCTCTTATGCCAATGTGAGGCATAAATGACACATAGAGGTCTCCCTTCATTGCCCCAATGTAGCTGTTCTGCTAGTAGGCACCAAGAGGGACTTGTGGAGTGACCTTGAGATAGTGAAGAAGCTGAAGGAACAGAGCCTAGGGCCCATAATTCCTCAGCAAGGCATGTCCCTGGCTAAGTAGGTGAAGTATCTGGAATGTTCTGCCCTGATGCAGGATGGGGTACAGGAGGTATTTTCAGAAGCTGTCTGGGCTGTACTTTACCCTGCCACAAAGAACACCAAGAAGTGTGTCCTCTTATAGTTTTTGGAGTGGTACTTAGGGACTGCATCCAAGGAGAATAAGGGGGATTCTTTTGACATCATTTAACAATGCCAGCAGAGCCACTTATCTCTTTTCCTGGAAACCCTAGGCTCCAGGTTACTCAGCTTTTGAAGGAATGAGTCCGTACTTGGCTGCTCTGCAGTTTGGTCTCAACCGTTTGGAGGAAGTTTAATTATGTGTGTGTCCCATCAAAGTGGTAAGAAGAAACACCACCAACCACTGTTCTTTCCTGTGCTGGCCAGGCCACAACTAAGGAGAAATCAAGTATTGATAGAAGATAAAATATTATGTCAACTCTCTAGTCTTCCTGCTTTTCTTCTGGTTTTCCTTTTCACTCACTAGGTACTCAAATGTTGTTTTGTTTTTCCTCCATCATTACCACACCAACTGGGCTAAGTGGCTTTTTGAAAAATTTATATTTTTATTGATTTCAGAGATGAAGGGAGAGAGAGTGATAGAAACATCATTTATGAGAAACATTCTTGGCTGCCTCCTACACACCCCCTACTGGGGATCAAGCCTGCAACCCGGGCATATGCCCTGACTGGGAATCGAACCATGACCTCCTGGTTCATAGGTCGACACTCAACCACTGAGTTACACTCACTGGCCGGCTAAGTAGCTTTTAATTTAATAGTGCCTCCTGCTCTTCTTGCCTGGCAAGTTCCCAAATGTAAGCCTAGGTTTGGTTGGGGCAAACTTGTGTCCTTTAATAAATGGAGGTGTGAGCCACAAGACTGACAGAGTGGTTTTGTATTGGACTGATTTGATGATCCTAAGCATACACTGACATCTTGATTTTTATACTTAAAAGGAATTTGTATGAAGACTAACATACTAGTATCACTTTTACATTATTCATAATGGATGGTAATACACTTTTATGACTTTACTGGGTCTATTGTTTTCTAAAAATCAAAGCATTTCCTCACCACCATCCCCATTTTGAGTGGTTTTGAAATGCTTTTCAACATGCAAAGGATAGTATAATTGCTGTATTGAAAACTGTACCTGTATGTAACTGTATTTATTTTTCTACATCAGACAGTGTATGGAACTGTCTGCCCTGCTAACATTGATTCTCTAGTTCCTGCCCCCCACCCCCATTAATCTCCAGAATTTAGCTTCATTTTCTGGTTTTCACTGATGACAGAGCAGTTAGTTCACTGTAGGAGATTTTTCTCATTTATTACACTATATTTAGCAAACAATTATCAAGCTCCTACTGTGTTACAGGTACTGTACCAGGGGCTGGGGTCATAAAAATAAGACATATTGTTTAATGTCCTTTGCCTCTCCCAGTTATCTCAGGAAAAGATTCTTCCTCTGTTTACTATAAAAATTAACTAATACTGGCTGGTAATTGTACATAGTGCTGGTGTACTGTTAAATGCACTAGTAAGGAAGAGTAAAAACTTGTTTTGTTTTGGAAATAGCTTTATTGAGATAATTTACATATCATAAAATTCACCCATTTCAAGAGTACAATTTAATGATTTTTAGTCAATTTACTGAGTCCTGCAACTATCACTAAAGTCCAGTTTTAGAACATTTCCATCACCCCAAAGAGACCCCTCATGCAGTTAATCCCTGTTCTTACCCATCAGCTCTAGGCAACCATTTATCTACTTTGTCTTTTCTGAAGATTTCATATAAATGGAATCAAATAATATGTGGCCATTTGGAACTTGCTTCTTTCATTTGGCATAATGATTTCAAGGTTCATCCATTTTGTAGCACATATGGATACTTCATTTACTTTTATTGCTGAATAATATTACATTATATGATTTCCCTATTTTATCTACTCATGGTTGAGGGACATAGGATTGTTTCTACTTTTTGGCTATATGTGTACACCTGAAACTAATATGTTATGTCAATAACACCTCAATAAAAAATAATAAATACAAGAAGGATAAACCAGAAATCAATGTATATGGTTACTTATAGGGAGTAGATGGGAATGTGTTACAGAGCATAGGCATGGGAGCAAAACTTCTCTGGGAATAGCTTTTTATAAAGTTTTGACTTTGAACCACATAAAGGTTTACATACTTTAAAAACAAAATTATATAAAAGGGGTAATAAAATATCCTAAAGTTGAATACAAATAGCAACAACTCCACAGGGGGAAAATGATTCAAGTAATTTTAGTATATTTTCAGCAGGATGTATTCAAAGGATAGAAAACTGAAAAGAACCTACTAAAGTTTATTGGAGTGGTATGGCCTTGTAATTTTGAAATAGGTAAATATATTGGTGTTGGGAACCAGAATTTTCATTGTAAGAAAAGATATGAATATGAAATAGGGAAAAGTGAGGGAGAACCTTGTGGTATTAGATTTGGAGATATTAGTATAAGCTCATTTTTTTTTAGCTATGTCTCTAGAGAGGGCATACAAACAATGATACCCCAGTTTCTAAACCATTTCCCACTAAAAGGAACTAGGGCTCCTTGGAGAAATGGTTTATGGCAGGTCCTGGGCAGAGAATGTACAAAGTAAGCTTTGAACATCTTGTGCCAAAAAAAAAGAAGTGGGTTGTGTTGAAAGGGCACAGGAGCCAGAGTGAAGTGGTTCCCATTGGACACATTTGGGAGAGTTTGAGCATCAAAAAGGAAAATGATGGTGCTAGATTATAACACACTAAAGATGTGAGAAAGGTTATAAAAGGGGTTAGTTCTTCTTTACTGATAAAGTCCAGTTAATAAATATAGGAGGAAGTTAAGAATTAGAAAAGTCACCCTCTTGCACTCTCCCAATATAATTGATTCAGGCAAAGATCATCAATAGATGCTAAAACCCACTGGGTGAAAGGACTATGGGAAACAATATTTGCACAACCTCAAAGTATCATCCCATAGATTACTTACTGATTACAGAAGAAAAAATGTGCCTTTTTGATGGAAAGACCTTGGTGGTAACCATTTTTTTTTATGTGATCAAATTTAGCATCACCCATATTGGTGTCTTCAGGTAGCTGGCAAAATATTTAACCTGAATCAGACGAATTCAGAATATGGAATATTCTCAAGACAACTTGCTTGGATTCTTAAAAAAATGTAGTGTCATGCAACACAAAAAGGCTGGATTAAGAGACTAAAGGGAGATAACCAAGTGCAAAACAGAAACCTTGATTGAGTGGATCGTGGATCGAAATGTAAAATGTTCCACTTAGAGGGCAATTGGGGAAATTTAAATATGGACTGCATGTTAAATTATATTGGATTAATGGTGATTTTTTTTTGTTTCGTTAATCCTCACCCAAGGATATTTTTTCATTGATTTAAATTTTTTTAAAAATTTATTTTATTGATTTTTTTACAGAGAGGAAGGGAGAGGGATAGAGCGTCAGAAACATTGATGAGAAACATCTATCAGCCGCCTCCTGCACACTCCCTACTGGGTATGTGCCCGCAACCAAGGTACATGCCCTTGACCGGAATCGAACCTGGGACCCTTCAGTCCGCAGGCCGACGCTCTATCCACTGAGCCAAACCGGTTAGGGCTCATTGATTTTTTATAGAGTGGGAGGGGAAGAGACAGAAACATCTATGGCTTGGTTGCCTCCCTCGGCAACAGGCGAGGGAGGGGCACTGGGGATGAGCTGCAATCGAGGTACTACCCCTGACCAGAATCGAACATTGGACCCTTTGGTCTGTGGGCCCGTGCTCTATCCACTGAGCCAAACCAACGAGGCAATGGTAATTTTTAAAGATGTGATAATGCTGATGTGGTTATGTAAAAAAAAGTCTTTTACTTAGGCATGAAGAATCACGGTATCTGTAGCCCACTTTCAAATGGTTCAGAAAAAAACCTGGCAAAATATTAACAATTGTGAATCTAGGTGAAGGTTCGGCTGCTCATTTTACTCATGCTTTACTTTCACATTTTCCTAAATAAAATGGAGGGAAAAACCCATTTGTGTGGGGAAATGTCAAAAACAACCAACTTACAAAGGTACCTCTGGCACAGTGCAATTTACAGCTGATTTCTCTTTGGGACTGAACGATGAATTGGCGGACAGCACACAAATACCACCAGTTCACATCCTTGTTCCGTGTACTAACGTGTGACCTGACGTAGCCACGTGATCCAGGCCACTCCTTCCGATTGGTGGAAGATCCGGTGCAATGAGAATGCTCCTGCGCAGGTAAATGTAAGGGGCAGGACCGAACATTTTCTTTGGCCAATCGCTTTCTAGATATCCAGCCTCCTGATCGTGTATGGTCGAATCAAAAGCCGTTAGTAAAGTAGTAACACCAATTCTACTTTCTTGTAGGAAAACCGGTCCTTCCGGGTCATTCCCCCTTCTCCCCCCCCCCCTTCCCTTATTTCGTTTCCGGTAGGGGCGGGTAAGGTCAGGGAGCACCGTGAGTCACTTCTGGGCGACTGGTGTTCGTATATCCGGTACATGGGTCCAAGCAGGGATTTGCAGGTTCCCGCAGCCGCTGCGGGTGCCACGGCCGCCATCATGTCAGACACGGACAGAGATGAAGATTCCACTGGGGGCTGCCCATTTTCTTTAACTGGATTCCTTTTCGGCAACATCAATGGAGCCGGGCAGCTGGAGGGGGAAAGCGTCTTGGACGATGTGAGGGGATTGGCGCGGGCTTAGGTCTGGGAGTGGTGCGACTCAGGAGAGGAAGTGGAGAAGAGTAGAGGGTGCTTAGGACCCGAGAACAGAGGGCAATGTTAGCGTTGGAGGAGAGGGAACGACAAGCAGATAGCAGCCTAGTAGAGCGTGCAGTAACGTAGAGTGAGGGGCTCAGTTCTGGGCGAGGGTGGGGAGCAGAGAGAATGGTAGGCAAGCCCCCGTAAGTTCAGGGGTGCTGATGTGGGTGGCTTTGGAAATAACTTTCCTGACCAGGCAGCAGGAAAAATAGCAGCTTAGCTTCTAGTGAAGTTGCTTTCAAGCCGTTTCTATGAGAACCTTCTTGGGGATTCTTGAAATTGCCTGCTTTCTGACATGGCTGCACTGAAGTGGCTCTAGAGCTAGAGCTAGAGGGCTGAACAGAACCGGCAAGAGATCATGTGGTTCAGGACCCAGTTCTTAGGACATGAGTGTTCAAACTATCCGGGGCAGACCTTTTGTGGTCCCCGTGCACCTCTTGGGTAGTTTCCCCAGTGTTCCCTGACATCCATGAAATTGTTTCACGTGCCCAACTGAAACTCAGTTACTTGTATCTAGATTCATTTTATCTTGGAGGAAATATTGACCAATATTCCTCCTCCCCTTCAACACACACACGTTAGCAAAAAAAGTTCTTGCCTTGTTTTCTTTAATCCAACATGACCTTAGTTGCCTTAGCTTTTATTCATAGAACTACTGTTCCATTAATTTAGTTTTGGTGGTGGTTCTTTAAATTATCTTTGCTTATGTTACTTTAAAACATGGTGATGAAATTGGGCATATGTTAATAAAGGTCTGACCAGCGTGGAGTTTAGTGGAAGGAAGATGTACCTTACAGTCTTGAATGTGATGGATGCTCCTTTTAGCATGCAGCATAGTCATTTTTCTTGTGTATTTGTAGCTATGCAGACCAGGGAAATAAGCCTTGTGGTGTGGGAAGCTTGAGTTTAGTTGTTGTCTTCCCTCTGGTGCTGTCTTTTTCAGGAGTGTAAGAAGCACTTGGCAGGCTTGGGGGCTTTGGGTCTGGGCAGCCTGATTGCTGAACTCACAGCAAATGAAGAATTGACTGGGAATGATGGTGCTCTGGTAAATGATGAAGGTGAAGTGGGTCATGGGGAGCAAGGTGGGGGAGGAGGCTAGCTACTTACTCTACATGTACTTTTCCATGGGAATTACCTAAGGGAGTGAGAGTTGTTCTTTGTTGAGCTCTGTCCTCCTGCTTTTACTTACAGGATGGATCAGGAGCACAGAAGATGCTGTGGACTATTCAGACATCAGTGAGGTAGCAGAAGATGAAAGTCGAAGATACCAGCAGACAATGGGGAGCTTGCAGCCCCTTTGCCACTCAGGTGATTCTTTGGTGTCATCATCAGAGCATTCCAGTGCATTATCTTGCTGTGTAGTCCAGTTTGTTTCTATATGTGGTTTCTGTCATTGTTCTTGCCCTCTGTGCTTTCATTCTGCTTCTCTCCCTTTTTGAGCTCAGCTCTGGGGCAGAGTATGTCGCCATCCTCAGGCTTTTATTTCTCATACTGGTTAATCCCAAATTCTTGATGAATGTTAAGTAAGGATGATAATACTTCCCTGTTATCATCTGGTATTTCAGTTGCTAAAGCATTCATGGTACTGTTTTAGATGCTATTTAAACTCAGTCTTTGTCCTTAAGGAAGGATTAAGGCTACAAGGTCATATAAATGACCGCATGTATTTATTGGCTCAACTTCTGTTAATCACTAACTACCTGTATGCTTACACAATGCACTTAATGCTTACCACATGTGTAATGTGCTGCATTATAGAATCATGTCAGAGTTGGAAGGGGTCTTAGTGATTAATTATTCTTAACCTCATCATAGATTAGTAAAACTTGAATATTAGAGAACTTTAATAAAATGTGGAACTTTATTAAAAGTTCTACAGTTAGCTAGTGGCAGACCTGGACTAATTCAGCAACTCAGTTTATTAGACTTTGATTGAGCACCTGTCATGTGCTATAAACTGTGATGGACAGTATGGTACAAAGATAATAAAATCCATATTCTGATCTTGAGCTCAGTTCTGTGGTCTAGAATCTAGGTCATAGTTCATGCTTTCCTCAGCCCCACACTACCTCTTCCTCCTTGAAATTTTTACATGAAGTTGCTCGTTGTCCACCTCTTTGAATTAGATTTCAGGCTGCTGAGAAATGTAGATAAAACCTTGGTAAGTACTTGAATTTAGTTTCTTCAGGGCCAGTTAATGGATTTGAATGCTGCTTGTATAAAGAGAATTAACTGCACCACAGACAGAAGGAATAACCCAGAAAAATAAAAAATACAGGCCTTACCTTCAGGGATATTGTTATCATTTGGGGAAGGTGGGATAAATGAATGCAAAGCAAAATTATTCATCATAAGAAGACATAAATCAGTTACAAGCTCATGTTTTTGTATAGAGTGTTATATTTAGTCTTGAGGAGCTGCCAAAATAGCTATGTCATATAGCATAACTGTTATTTTTAAAAAAATATATTTTTATTGATTTCAGAGAGGGAGAGAGAAACATCAATGATGAGAGAGAATCATTGATGGGCTGCCTCCTGTATGCCCCACACTGGGGATCCAGCCCACAACCCAGACATATGCCCTGATTGGGAATTGAACTCGTGACCTGGTTCACAGGTTGACGCTCAACCACTGAGCCACACTGGCTAGGCCATAACTATTATTTTTGAGCATCCTGAGTTAGGCTAAGGGAAAGGTGGTAGCAGCTCTGATTTTCAGAGGATGTTGTACTTTTCAGGTAGATTTATTGTCTTGGCTAGGGATAGTAAGGAAGAGGGTAGGTGGGGGTTTCCTAGTTGGATTTTATGAGCTGACCTGGAAAGGATTATGCTGCATTAGGTAGAGTCTGAGTACTCTGACATGTTCTTTTCTAAGTTCCTTTGTCCTCTGAGGATGCCTTTATCTATGCTTGTAGCTTCCTCTTTCCCTGGCATTGGCCTCTTCACACAGCTTGATTTCCAAGGGTGTTTCTTTGGAATAATTGGAAGTGGGTGGAGGTCAGTAGAAAAGGCTTCACAGGTGAATTTTAAGTAAAAATTTTGAAAGACAAGGTTTAATGGAGCGGAAGCAGCAGGGCATATTGGTTTGGAAACATGGCTTGTCTAAAGGTTTGAAAATAGAAATCGTGTGTGGGGGAATTTGACCAGCAGATTTTCTTGAAAGGAATGGAAAACACTGCCAAATAGCAAGAACCAAGGATAGAGCAATTTGATGGCACCTTTTTGTATGTATTACTTGGGAATTGATGCCCTAAAGCAGTGGTTCTCAACCTTGGCTGCACATTAGAATCACCTGGGAATCTTTTTAAAATCCTGATTTCTGGGCCTCATCCTCTGGAAATTCTGTACAGAATTTCCAGCAAAGAAACAGAATTTCCGGAGGATGAGGCCCAGAAATCAGGATTTTAAAAAGATTCCCAGGTGATTCTAATGTGCAGCCAAGGTTGAGAACCACTGCCCTAAGTAAGAGGTAGGGTGGTATAATGAAAAGAAAATGGACTTTGGAGTCAGCATATCATAGGTTCAAATCCCAACTCCATATTTAGTTTGCCCCTGGGAAAGTTGCTTATTCTCTGAAGTTTGGACTTCTCATTTGTTTTTGTTTTCATCTAGCCAGGGCTGTATTTATTTATGTGTTTAAATTATAGTTGACATACAATATTATATTAGTTTCAGATGTACAACATAGTGTTTCAAAATTTATTTACTTAATGAAGTGTTCACCATCATAAGCCTATTAACCGTTTGTCATCATGGACTTCTCATTTGTAATAATCACTCAGTTTTTCTGTCTGCAATGAAGGTGATAATACCTACCCCATTAATAGGGCTTTTGGTGGGGAAATTTAAGTTCATTATTAGTGTGAAAGACTCTGCATAATACAGTGTAATGATAGATCTGTTAATGTTAGTCGCCTTCCTAAGTGAAAATGAAAAGTGATAGTTAATACTTTGGGGATTTGGTTAGAAAAAGGGTAAAGGGGCAGAGTTGCTTGGAGATTACTTGGAGATTGTTCTTGCAGGCTAGATTTATCAAGGACTAGAGTGACAGTATCAGAAAATGATAGGCAGGTTCAAGCTTGAGAGTTGCTGAAAAAGGATCAGTGGGCTTGGTGAGTGAGGAAATGTGTTCGAAAGAGTACAGGCTCTGTTGTTAAACCAGGCTTGAATTCTGACTTTGTCACTTAAAACCATATGATCCTAAGTTGCTTAACTTCTGTATCTCAGAATAATTCTACATTGTTGCATTATTGGGAGGATTATAGATAAAATGGCTACAAATACCTAGCACATTATGGGAGCTCAATAAATGGACATTGCTATAATGACTATTAATGATTGATTAGAAAAGGTGTGTTGGTAAGGGGTTGGTGTAGGAGACTAAAATTATAAGCTCAGGAAATGAGGATGGAGGTGGTATTGATAGTAACCAAAGGGATTTTAAAAGAGGTGAAGGATATTTCAGTGTGATATGAGATGCAGTTTGAATATCTGAGTGGGAAGGTTCTTTAGGCAGCAGAACATGTGTTGCAATTGTACAGGGGGTATGTCAGGGCAAGATGTAGATTTGGGTTAAATCTGGAAAAGGTGATTGTTGAGAAAAGGGAATGGAAAGTGTGTAGAGCAGGGGTGGGCAAACTTTTTGACTCGAGGGCCACAATGGGTTCTTAAACTGGACCGGAGGGCCGGAACAAAAGCATGGATGGAGTGTTTGTGTGAACTAATATAAATTCAAAGTAAACATCATTACATAAAAGGGTACGGTCTTTTTTTTTTTTTAGTTTTATTCATTTCAAACGGGCCGGATCCGGCCCGCGGGCCGTAGTTTGCCCACGGCTGGTGTAGAGGAATAAAAGTAGAGTGTTCAGGACCAAGTGTTGAGTGATGCCATTGAGAATAATAAACTGCAGAAGGTAGACAGAAAAAAAAATGTGTCAAAGACTTGGGAGGAGAGAAGAAAGTCCTGTCTTTAAGGAAACTGACAGAGAATGTTAAATTCAATTGTGAGATTGACTAGGGTGAAAATAAATAAAATAGGATTTGATCAGGAGCAGGAGCAAAGGTTTCAAGCAATTCTTTCGAGCTCCCTCACCAATAAGAGTTATACTTATACTAGGTGTACTGGTTAATAATGGCGGATTTTATAATCAAAGAAAACAAGATAATTTCAAGAGAAACATCAAAAGTGCTTTATTCAAAGTAATGTCCATCGCTAGCTACACATTTCCCCCATCTTTCAGGTAATTTGTGTATAGTCCCAATAGAACACATTTCTTGTTTTGAGGCAAACCATTCATAGACCCAATTTTCCACTTCTTCGTATGTTTTGAAG